TTTTTTCTCCTTGTACGCATGCTTTATATATACTGGATGTATGTGTGTATGTGTGTGTGTATGTATATGTATATGTATATATTAGAGCTGCAGCTAACGATTATTTTCAAAATCGATTAGTTAGCCGATTATTAATTGCGATTAATCGGTTAATCGGATAAACAATAAAATACATTTTAAAAAATGGCTCCAGTGATGGACTACTAGTTTGTATTGAGATTGTAGTCCATCACAGGAGCAAGCTTGGAGTAAAAAATAAAAAAAGTGTGGTGTACAATATAGTGAAATGGAAAGTGTAAACTTATACAGCGGCACAATGCAGAATGGCACCGGCTATAGAGGAGCACAACAAATCCCAGCAATAGTACATTATAGCTGGTGGTATTCTGTATTACGCTGTATAATGTACTGTTGCTGGGTTTTGTAGTGCTCCTCCTTACTACATCTCCCTGCGTCTCAGTGCCGATAGTCGATGTGGGCGGGTCGGTGAGTGTGAGGCGGGAAGGAGGTGTGGCGTGTAGAGCGTGGATGCGGGCGTGCGGGTCTGGCAGCCGTGAGCGTGAGTTGGGGAGTCATTATTGTTACTGGTTAATTTATAGCCGATGAAAAGCTTTTAGTGAAAGCAACGTGGCAAGTGTACAAGAAAAGCGAAAAAAGTGTGCGTGTATATATACAGTGGTGGCAAGCACTGTGGACACTTTTTGAAATTTTTATGTTTTGCAACTTTGCAGGCTTTCAGGAAATGTTATTTTGCGCCACATGCAAATGTTTTTATATGTCAGTTTAAAGAAAATGGCATGCTGAATTCAATACAAAACCAGAATGCAAATATAAGCAGTAGAAACAAAGTTATGCAGGGAGTACGGCAATCATGCTGAATATACTGTGCAGGAAGCAATTATAGCCTCAATTAATTGTCTTTTTATTTGATGGACGCCTCATGCGTACAAGGCTTTTCAAACCGTGCCACACATTTTCTATCGGGTTCAGGTCAGCGCTTTTTACTGGCCAGGTCAACAATGGAATGGACTTTGGTGTTAAACACTGATTGCGTGTTTTTGCTGTGTGGCAGGGAGCTGAATCCTGCCCAGTATATTCAGCATGATTGCAGTACTCCCTGCATAAGTTTGTACTGCTTATATTTGCATTCTGTTTTTTGTTTAAATTCAGCATGACATTTTCTTTAAATCGACATACATATACTGTGTGTGTGTGTATATGTATGTGTAATGTGTAATATATATATATAGTGTGTGTGTATATTTACACCAGTCTGTGATATACTAATAATTATGTACTGTATGCTATGTGTACAGTTGGCACTGAAGAAAAAAAGAATGCAGATCCCAGGAACATGTTGGGGTCCACTCTTGGATCTGCAGTAAAGTATCCTAAAACGGGGTTTCTTCCAATGTCCTCATCCACCCTTCTTATGGGCTTTGCCCCTCTATATAGAGTGAAGTGCTAATGATTCCACATTTCTTCTCATCGACACATGAGCCACTAATCAGCACCCACCTGGACCTTACAATACTTTTTCCACAGACTATTTCTTCCTGTCCAGAAAGATAGAGGGGAACAGAGAAGAGGGGAACAGATAAGCACAATGGCAAGCCTGTCGGGCAGTGTGGCCTATAGCTGGTTTCTCCAGTCCAGAGTAACAAATTGAAACTTTCCAGTTTGCAAATTTTCATTGGTGGAGTACAGTTGTTCTTCAAGCAACTGTTCCCAGGCTATTCTATACCTGTTCAAAATTGTTTTGGGTGTACTTCGGTCTCGTGATCTTTCACCCAGTCTCGCCTGTCCCTAATCAAGTAAGATATTGGCTGTGCAGTTTGTTGCACAGCCACAGGTCAAAATCCTGCCAGATGTTCGAAAGCAGAAGAAAATCCCACCATGTGTATATAAAGGAGCCAGTAAATAATTGTTTCTTTCCTAATCTTGAGATTGTGATGTTTGTATAGGCTGCATTTTTCTTGGCAGTCTCTTATGTGTACAATGCTTAGTTATTGCTGTTGGAACAAATTGGGTTAGTATGTAGGTGTGGCACGTTTACTTGAGGACATTACACGGACCTGTGCGAATGTTCGGTCACTAGAAGTAGGTGACATATATTTAGAACATGTATTAGAAAGTTACCTAATGAATCTCATTATAAGAGGACAAAAACATAGGAAGTGAAAGTGAAGGCAGTGTGGCCTATAGCTGGTTTCTCCAGTCCAGAGTAACAAATTGAAACTTTCCAGTTTGCAAATTTTCATTGGTGGAGTACAGTTGTTCTTCAAGCAACTGTTCCCAGGCTATTCTATACCTGTTCAAAATTGTTTTGGGTGTACTTCGGTCTCGTGATCTTTCACCCAGTCTCGCCTGTCCCTAATCAAGTAAGATATTGGCTGTGCAGTTTGTTGCACAGCCACAGGTCAAAATCCTGCCAGATGTTCGAAAGCAGAAGAAAATCCCACCATGTGTATATAAAGGAGCCAGTAAATAATTGTTTCTTTCCTAATCTTGAGATTGTGATGTTTGTATAGGCTGCATTTTTCTTGGCAGTCTCTTATGTGTACAATGCTTAGTTATTGCTGTTGGAACAAATTGGGTTAGTATGTAGGTGTGGCACGTTTACTTGAGGACATTACACGGACCTGTGCGAATGTTCGGTCACTAGAAGTAGGTGACATATATTTAGAACATGTATTAGAAAGTTACCTAATGAATCTCATTATAAGAGGACAAAAACATAGGAAGTGAAAGTGAAGGCATTGTTCAAACCAACCAGTCAGGAGTTAGGTTTGGTAGGCTGCACTATGGTGGCTGGAATCTGAATGAGTCCTGTGAGAAAATGCATATGGGATGGTGGAGGTCAGTCTTGATCAAAGCCTACATGAACTGGAGCTGGCCATACACGTGGGCTGAACAAGAGAAAACCACTCCTATTCCCATCCACTCTAATCAGCTTAGATGGAGAAATCTTCCCTGCCAGCTATTATATTCCAACAGCTGTGCTTCGCAATTGCTTAAACAACGAAATGGCGACTGTTTGGTCAACATTTACCGACATTCTTTGAATTTTCAATTGAAGTCTGTCAAACCTGGTGGGGTTGACATGGCCACCCATGGCTCAAATTTATGGTAGTTGTTCAGCTATTACACTATATGATCAACAGTATGTAGACCCTTCCAATATATTGAGTCCAAGTGCACAATGCCAGCTCCATAAAGACATAAAGAACTTAAGTGGCCTTTACTGACCCCCATCCCTGATCTCAACTCTACTGAACACCTCTTGGCTGAATTGTAATGGCAATTGCAAGCCAAGTCTTCTCATCCAACATCAGTACCTGACATCGCAAATGCATTTTTGGCACAGATTTGCTTAGACATACTCCAACATCTTGTCCAAAGCCTCCCCAGATGAGCGGCGGCTGTTATGGGGGGCGGAGCGGGGGGCAACTCCATGCTACAGCATGTAAAGACATTTTACAAAACTTGGGCACTTCTACTGTTTGGGGATGGTCCTTTTCTGTTCCATCATGATAATGCCCCTCTGCACAATGCTAGCTCCATAAAGTCCTGGTTTGATGAGTTTAGCATGGAGGAACTCAAGTGGCTGCGCACAACCTTGACCATCAGTACTTGACCCCACAGTACTTGACCCCACAAATTCTCTTTTGGCTGAATGGAGGCAAATTCACTTAGACACACTCCAAGATCTTATCCAAAGCCTTTCCAGAAGAGCGAAGGCTGTTATAGAGGGGACCAACTCCATATTAATGGTCATGGTTTAGGAATGGGATGTCCAACAAGCTCCTATAGGTGTGATGGTGGTCAGGTGTCGAAAAGGTTTGACAACACATAGTGTATTCTTTGAGAAACAAAAACTTGCTGTTAGCCTTGGTTACCCTTTAGGCAGTGTATGTACAGTATGTGTGTGAGGGAGAGCTCTATGAAGGGATTGTTCTATAAACATGCATACAAGCATTTGGTTACATATGTATATTTATTTATGGCTAAGGAAAATGGTGGGTAGGCAGACCCCTTCAGAACTGACCAATCCTGGAAGTGGCAGCGAGTGTGCAATGTTCTGCAGGATCGGATGTCCACCATCATCTTATGTCTGTGGGTATTTATTATAAAATCTTTCAGCCATGGGACTCTCTGTAATAAATTTGAACGCAATACTTTCCAGCAGTCTGTGAGCTGGATTCGTTTTTAAAATACTGGCTAATATTCAACTCCAGCACAGAATAGCTTCACAGGAAATTGGATAAATCTGATTTTAATATGCAAACCTATAGTCAAATCGGAGACGGGCAGCTAAATGTCAAGACTCACTGTGGTTCGGATTACCATTTAAAGGCACATGGGGGAATCGTTCATCTGAAAAAGTGGTGGATGTACTCCATAAAGGAGGTAACCTGTGATATCCGTATTTGTGTATCATATGGACCTGGATTTGGTCCTGGGCCACTGCCTCTCTGGTCACGATGGGGGGATCGTTCATCAGAAGATCAAATCCTGGATGTGTGATTAGGAGCACCTCTTAAAAAATGGTCATCTTGCTTGATTGTTCATTTCAGTCCTTTTATTTGAAGGGAAATGTCAGATACAGCCAATGCGTTTTGGGGGAATTGGACTACCTCTTTTTCAGGGCTTGAGCAACAATATGTATTGGAATCAGGAAGAGCTGTATTTTGTAGGCTGGATTACCCCTGAGTGGCAGCAAGACCTGTTTTCAGTCAGGACTGCCGACTGGATCTGGCTACAAAAGTGCAGTTCTTCCTGATTCCATTGCATATTGTCCTGAAGAAGGGGATCTCCAATTCAATCTACAATGTAACATTGTGGCAAGGCTGGTGGAATATGAGCTCAGTGATCCCCAACTGTGGCATGCAGGGTAAACGTCATTAAATCAATGCTTACCAATCTGAATGTCTTTATATTTTGTCAATATTCGTTGTGCAGCATTCGTGTGTAACACCCGTTGCCTCATTTTACTGCAGGATGCTGCAAACAGCCTATGAATACTTCTGGTGGCATCGGCTGTGGTTGCCGGTGAACCTCACCTGGGCCGACCTTGAAGACAAGGATGGTCGCGTATACGCCAAAGCTTCCGACCTGTACATCACCATCCCCCTGGCGTTCGTGTTCCTCATAGTACGATACTTCTTTGAAATGTGAGTAGTTTCTTCTTATGGAATTGTGCACATACCTGGGACTTCTGGTCTGTACACTTTTTCTGCCAGAAAGACCTGGAGCACATTTTTTATATTATATTTATGGCAGTTCAAGGATGTGGTGGCGGCGGCATTCCTTTTCATTTTTCAGTGATGATTCTACCAACTCTTCTCCATATTAAAATAAATACAATAAATCAAGACCTTCACATAGAGTGGGGTCCTATATTCAATGCAAAATAATGGCGTAGGGAAACCAGCCAACCAGGTGTTGGCACCCTAGGACAGGAACATGCTTCCTCTCCTGGGGTGACAACAGTCACCCTACTGCAGGGGTGGGCAACCTCGGCATTCCAGCTATTATGGAACAAGTCCCATGAGGCATTGCAAGACTCTGACAGCCACAGGCATGACTCCCAGTGGTCCCAGAATCATTATAGAAGTTGTAGTTTCACCACAGCTGGAGTACTGAGGTTGCCTACCCCTGCCCTACTGTCTCTATGAAAGAGCAGTGTTGTCATAAGAATAGAAAGTGTGTTAGGATTACATTTCCCTATTTTCATAACAAAGGGGGTGGTGTTCTGTAGTTCACAGAGCTAATAGGACTCCTCATAATTTCAGTGCAGTAAAGCTATTGTGTTAGCTCACTACAGGAAGTTACAGGCTCTTTGGATTTCTAGCAGATCAATGTGTCCTTTTTTATATATATATATCTATATAGATATAGATCTATATCTATATAGATATAACAAAACTGTTTCAGTGGTATAGTTAACAGACCAGAAGGGAGAAAATTAATTTTACATACACTTCAATGTCTGAGCAATCCTGAATGTGGCCTTAAAAAAACAGAGCTCCTGTGTTGGTTGGTTATATACGATCTTCTCTTTGCAAGCTGTTGGTATTTGTAATGCAGTGAATATAGTCTGCTCAAGCACCTATCCTATGAGGGTGCCATATTTTAGATTGTAAGTGTATGTTAAGCCAAAAATTTTTTTGCATAGAGTAGGGAAAGTTTAGAACCCTTCTCAGGTTTTTACTACCAGGGTTCTCACATAGAGAGATTTCCCCTCACTTCCTGACCAGCTGACAACTGTTTACCAGGTAGGAAGTAAGAGCAAGGGCTTGTGCACTTGGCATCAGTTAAGACTCTTCTTAGTTCATTTGGAATTGATAGGTGCATGTGACTTGCAGTTGACCTGCTTCAAATGGGTTTTGCATTGCCATAGATTTGTATGGGAATATAAAACCTGTTGAAAGTGAATTGCAGATTTTACCTCACTTCCTGTCTGGTGAGAATGTTCTCAGCAAGACGTGAGGAAGTGGCAGGACATCTCTTTACTGGAACCCCCGGATAGCAGTAAAAGGGTAACAGAGGTCCTAACCTTTCCCTACTGCATATACTGCATATAGCTGGACGAATAACATTTGCAGCACATTACTGCCCCTAGATGGAGCCAAGGAGCATAGGATTCCTATGCTCTTCGGCTCCATCTATTACATTAGTGCCACGTCTATTATTAACGTGGCAGTAATGTGCTGCAATGTCTTCACACAGCTATATACACTGTGTGAATTTATTTATTACAGGTACTTATATAGCGCCGACAATGTTACGCAGCACTTTACATATTTGCACATTCACATTAGTCCCTACCCTCAAGGAGCTTACAATCTAAGGTCCCTATCTCACATACATACATACATACATACATACATACATACATACATACATACATACCCTGTTTCCCCAAAAATAAGACCTAGTACTATTTTTGGGAATTGCTAAAATATAAGACCTAGTTGTGACCATTCCCAGGGCCGGTGGTGGCATAAGGGGGAACTTGAAGAGTCACAGGAGAGGCGGGAGAGAATCGGCGGTGCCAACAAAGCCAGTGCTAGAGTAAGCGAGGCGGCACCGAAGGGAGCAGAGCCGCATAGGCCGATGCCTCCTCTATAGCGCCGACTCCTGTCACAGGCGGAGTGATACCAAATGCACTTCGCCTGTGAGGAATCGATAGTGAAAGTGCGCTTCAGTAATTCTGGCCAGCAATTGGTTAGCAAATTGCTCTTGGAAAGGTACGGCACCCCTGATTGCCCTGATCACCATATTTTTGTACATGAATACATGTAGACTTCTCTACATGAATAAGAGTTGATTGTTGTACATAAAAAAAAATAAGACCTAGTGTGTTTTTTTGAGCCAAATAAAATATAAGACAGTGTCTTATTTTCGGGGAAACAAGGTACATACAAGGGCCAAGTTAGGGAGGAGCCAATTAACCTACCAGCGTATCTTTGAAGTGTGGGAGGAAACAGGAGTACCCGGAGGAAACCCACGCAAGCACAGGGAGTACATGCAAACTCCATGCAGATAGTGACTTGGCCGGGATTCAAACCAGGGACCCCCAGTGCTGCAAGGCAGAAGCGCTAACCACTACTGTGCTGTGAATACAAATCAGCCCCAAAGTCTCAACTGCAGAAACAATGTGGATATAATGACTCCAGCAAAAGTTTTTACTTCTACATGCCCTGGCGTTCCGCCTGCCTTCTGTGAAGATCATTGCCGCTCAAGTGACATGGTGTGGACGAGCCCTTAGGGGTGGTGGGGGGATAGGGAGCCCGGAGTTCCGCTTCATTTTTCAACCCCTCCTTCAAAGCTATTTATCTCTTTCCTATGTTCTGTTCATGTACAAGGCCAGAACAGCGTGTGTCCCTAGCTCAACAATTCATCATGCTTCCTGGAATATAATAGATCGGATCATTCCAATGAAATGTTTATCTTTCTTGTGTTTCTGACACAGCGGGTATTAAGACTTGTTACCTACTAATCATGAAACAATATTTCTGACGTGACCAACCATTGAAAGAGGTGTTGGCTTCTGGTTTCTGCTAATATTTTGATAATGTAGATCTAAATCCTGAATGACGTTGAGGCCTCATTCACGCCAATGATTAGGGCAGACTTTGCTGGATTTCTGCTGCTTGGGTGACTGTTTGCACCTAGGGGCGATCATCTGTCACCGACTGCAGGTAACTGCTACATGTGCAATTACATGGAATGGCCGTAGCCTCGAATTGCTTTATACGGGCTGATCTGCCGCACCTGTCTGCAAACACCTGTGATTCCAGTTGCTGCCTGCCCTAATGGATGGTACGATGAGGCCTTAGCTTGCTAGGGCCCAGTCACGCCACTTGTGGTGTGGTAAAGCATATTAAACGCACGTGTTTTCGCACATTACATGTGCTGTTACAGCATGGCGTCCTGTGCACTGCACTGTGGGAAACAAAATGCAGCCTGAACCACTTTTCATGCATCAAGGTACATTGCAGCCCATTCCCTTTGCCAGACTACAGTAGCTGCTGACAAGCCTGAAGTTCTCTCATCACAACACAATATAGTTTTTAATCTACAGGGATTGAAGTCCACAGACAGGAGTTCTCTCATTAACCCCCTGATGAAAGGGGTGTGTGTTGGACCCCTGAAACGCATTGGCTACTCTACTTGAATGTCCCACTGACCCCAAATAAAGATCTGGATTGTAATTGTTGTGGCGGTTCTATTCCTAGATCACACAAACTAGTGCTTTGCAGTGTACTGCTTTCTGGCGTGAATGGGCACGCAGATATGCAACTCTTACTCTTGGGATATATGATGGGGATATCGCAAAAGGCTATGGGAGCAGGGGCAAGCCATTCCCATCTAGGTGAAAGCCTGTACGGGGAAGGGGGGGGGGGTGATGGTGTAGTTCAGGGAGCCAAACTTATTTAGTGGACTAAGGGTCCTCTTTAGCTTACGCTCCTTTTAAGTTTATACTTTCTTTTATATTTATAGGTAACATTGCTTTGTCAGGTTCTATTTGCTCAATACATAAACTACCTAGCTGGCGATCACTGACCATTCCTGTTCATACGTCATGTGTGCACTTGAGTGAACGCTGCTGAGGTTGCGCACACATGGTAAACCACATCTTGGTAAATAATGGCACGCCTCACAAGGGAGTGAATCTAACATAAGGCAGCTGTAGATGGTTGTCTGTGAGGTCTTCTGAGCCCCACCACCGTTGGCTGCGATTGTTAGACACTGTGCTATGTGGCTCAGTGGTACCACTTCTGCCTTGCAGTAATGGGCTCCATGGTTTGAATTCCAAACAGAGCACATGGAGTTTGAACGTTCTTTCTGTTCTTACGTGGGTTTCCTCCAGGTACTCTGGTTTCCTCCCACACTCCAAAGAAATGCTGGTAGGGTAATTGGCTTCTGCCCAAATTTGCCTTAGTATGTATGCATAAGAGATTAGGGACCTTATATTGTAAGCTCTTTGAGAGAAGGGACTGATGTTAATGTGCAATATATCTTACGCCAAAAATGTACATAGTGCTTGACAAATAGCTGTAATAAGTAAATAAATACTTGGCAGGCCCAAGCCAAGTGCAAGTGTGCACAGGGGGACCACTGCTCATAGTGTTCAAAGCACCCTATAACTGGTGGTGAGCTCTTTTGGCTGGTTTGAGAGCTCAGGTGACTTCTTCAGTGCAAATTTGTATCCTCCATAGGAGATTAAAGACTAGTTATGCTCCAAGGAGTCCAAGCTATAATCTAGTTTTGTTTGCTGGCAAGTCTAATTACATGGAGACGTCTTAGTCATATATCTGTTGGGGACACCAGTTATGAGGTTGGCCCACCACATTCCTAGTTCTGTATAGCCAATCTCAAAGTCAAATGCCACATATTGCACTACCTAACTCTCAATAAAACAAGTCCTTAGGGAATCCAGCTGAGATAGTGGCACGATCATTTTAGCCATGTGGGTGGAAGTTGAGACAGGAATGTGCTACCATCTAAGCTTCTGATGTAAAAAGCTGTTGGGTGGTCAACCCACCAGAGCTCATGGATTTATCAGTTTTGGTTACTTTAAGGTTGTAGAAACCAGCTTCTGACAGGCTTCAATCTTCAGCAGTTTGGTTAAAAGTCCATATGATTTGTATTCAGTCCGGTATCCGTTATGAAGGTGTTCTTTGACCACCAAAATGCATTGGCTTTGAGATATAGTCTCATCTAACCTTGAAATAAATCTATATCTTGATGACTACATTTTGGTGTGGTGCTTCAATCTGAGATTTCCCATTTACAAACCAAGGGGACAGTAGACGTCCTTTTGCTGTGAAAAAGCTGCTGGCCCCAAGAATCCAGACATCCTAGTTAAATACCTCCTATACCCCCTATGACATTAGGATAATCTTAAGGTTCCAGCATTACCCTTCCAAATTTCTTTAAAGCCTGTCATTTGGGGGGGGGGAGAAACAGCAGAACGATTGTAATGTGAATTTCAAAAATGTCCAATTGGGATTTTTGTACAGTTATCTATGTGCTTATGGGAATGTGTCCTTGGTTGTGTGTGTGTCCTGAGGCCATGTCTTGTACACTGTGGTCATGTGTGTGCTGGGATCATGTGTGTCTTGGGGTCATGTCTTCTGCACTGGGGTCATATCTGCACAAAGGTTATAGATAGGGTGTACAGTATCTAACCATGACCATGTCTTATGCAGTTATGCTGCCACTCCACTGGCCAGGCTACTGGGAGTAAAAGACAAGGTGAAGCTGCGAGCGGCCCACAGTCCGGTGCTGGAGACCTTCTACACAAGCTGCTCAAAACATCCCAAACAGGTATGACATCACCAGACTTTCACTGCTCTTCTGGATGATGCAGAATAGCCAATTTGGAAGAAATGGGTAATTCTGCATCTTTGTATAGATAGCAGGACCTCTCCTACTGTAGATGTCAGACTCGGGTCTGACCATTGAAAGCAGTGGTTCCCAAAGGAAGTCATGATTGCATGACTATCCCAAGCAGGTTGAGGTCATAGATCTCTAGCGACCATTCAAGTTCCTCAACATCAAACTCTTCTTCAAGCACTTCTGTTGAAGTCCATTGGAGCCAAAACACTCGCCTCTGCCCAATAAAGAAGCTTCTTTTTTGCTGGAAGCGCTGTGCTGAGAGGTGAACTGGAGCTATTGAAAACAATAGAGTTCCCCCTGTTGTGCGTTGTAGCGCTTAGGGAAAGGAGTTACAAAATGCTCATGTGTAAATGGGGCAGCCGTGCGCTCTCATTCTGCACTGAGGTCTTGATCAGCAATATACATTGTGAACGCAGCATCTCGTCCATTTTTGTTACAGGCTCTTTTCTTCTTTTATCCTCCTACAGAGCGATTTGGAGAACTTATCAAAGGCCAGTAAGTTCACTGTGCGCCAGGTGGAAAGATGGTTTCGGCGGCGAAGAAACCAGGACCGTCCGAGTTTACAAAAGAAGTTCAGAGACATACATACATACATACATACATACATACATACATACATACATACATACATACATACATACATACATATGTGTATATATATATATATACATACATACATACACAATGTGTGTACCTTGTGAATAAAAAGATCTGGATTATTGTTGGACATTAAAGAGAAGCCTCTTTAAATGTTAATGTGTTTTTCCAATGCGTCTGTTGCTTCTATGGAAATGGCTTATAAACCAGCCACAGGCGAGGTTTGGTCTGACTGTTGGCTGTCAGTAGTGCACACAATGACCTGGGAGCCTCGGCAGATAATGCAGTTGAGGCAGTTGTACTGTTTAATCTTATTACTGTAGGAACCAAGCCATCACTTCCCATGCAAGCTTGTATTGGTTGCTCGGTATTGTTGTACACATCGTGTAATCCGGGCTCGGACCTAAACAAATCATGTTTTCTACAACAGCAGATTGTGCTAGACGTTTGTTTGGGCGACCAAGGTTACTCTATTAACCCCTAGGCGACTGCAATCTGCATGTTAAAGCTGAACACTGGGATAACCCTATGTTGCCTAAGTACAATAGGCATGTGTATTATGACTTGGATCTTAGGGGTCTTTTTATAACTAGGCCAGAGGGCCCTACAAATGTCTGTGAACATTCGTTCTGTGCAAATAATGGCAAAAACAAACATTCTAATATTTTCTTTTTGGGTCACGTGTATTATGATGCTGCAATATGGCCATTAGATGGCGATAAAGAGCACAGGAAATATAGATTTATGCTCCTCAGCTCCATCTAGTGGGCATATTGTGGAATTACATTCAAATACCTTCCACCGCAAAAATAAATATTTTAAGAATGTTTGTTTATTTTTGCCATTTATGTGCAAAAAATTAAGATTCTCCGATATTTGCAGGGCAAAAAGCCCTGTCAATTGTTTATAAAGAGACAAGATGGTTAGCTTTGTTTTTCTTACAGATCTGTACAGTAATACAGTGGGAAACTTTTGCTCTGTGGCAGGAGCTTCCTGTAATTTAGACTAGTCGGTGCTGCTCTCTTTCTTATGCAGGGTGACTGGTCTTGTGTCCGCCCCTTCCTGTAGTATAGACCAGTCAGTTTTGCACTCTTATGCAGGGTGACTGGTCTTGTATCCGCCCCTTCCTGTAGTAAAGACCAGTCAGTGCTGTTCTCTTATGCAAGGTGACTGGTCTTGTGTCCACCCCTTCCTGTAGTAAAGACCAGTCAGTGCTGCACTCTAATGCAGGGTGACTGGTTTAGTATCGGCCCCTTCCTGTAGTAAAGACCAGTTGGTGTTGTACTCTTATGCAGAGTGACTGGTCTTGTATCCGACCCTTCCTGTAGTAAAGACCAGTCAGTGCTGCACGCTAATGCAGGGTGACTGGTTTAGTATCGGTCCCTTCCTGTAGTTTACTGTAGTGGCCCATCTCACGGCTCTTCTCTCTGCACAGGCTATGTACAGCACAGTGATGATGTCACAGCTACTTTTCCAAGGTAATGTGTTTTCAAAGGAATTTGGTGCACACATTTTTATCCTTTTTATGGCTATTGAGAGGTAGATTTAAATAACATTTTTTTGAGTTCAGCTTGAACATTCTCAGGCATGGGTCCTGGCGCTCATAGAGCACTACCACTCAGCTGTAAACCAGCATCACTCACCTGTGTGCGCTCATGGTACTGTGACCATGCTGTCACCGATAGCTGCAGGTCTCAGATGAAGGATCAGGAGCTGATGTAGTTTGGTTCCTGATCATGTGATCAGCATGACCGTGGCCATTTATGGTAATTAATGGATGCTTGTTTGCTAGCTAACCTCTCTCTGACGCATGCGTCTCTCAGCAACTTCAATGGAGCTTCCACACAGCAGAGACAACATTGCAATAGGTCAAAAAAAAAAGACAACAGTTTTGTGTTCTGTAGAAGAACCAGAAATGTTTAAACACTTTTGTCCATTTAAAAAACAATGTAAAGACTATTTAGGCAGATTAATCCTAAAGTGATTGTCCAGAGGCATAGTGATGCTGCTAAGTGTGGTGTGGCCATCTGGCCACAAAGGGGGTTTGGCGGCCCTGGAAATACCACCTCTTAGTCTGGCTGTACCGGGACCACAATAGTCCGAATGTCAACGCTGAAAAACTCCTAACTGGGCATTTAATTACTTTTATCTGTTAGACGGGATGATCAAGGTTCCCGTTACTCTCCTCAAGTGGGTAGATGTCAAAAAACCAGAAGCTCCATGCTACCGATCGGTTAATGATTGTCCGTGTAGTTGATCCGTTTAGTTTATGACCGCTCTGAGACGTCTGCCTTCTCTTCACAGTTGGAGATTCACCTTTTATCTTGTTGCTTTCATTGCTGGCATTGCAGTCCTGGTAGACGTAAGTAGAGTTCTCCTTATCCCAAATCTGTTCTCTGTTAAATGGTTACAGAGGTCATTCTGATGGCCGTGGGGGAAAGTTTATTTTTTAAAGTGCAAAGAATGGGGTCCTGACTCGAAGGCAGGGGTAGCCAAACTCTGGCCCTCTGGCTGTGGTGGAACTACAAATCCCATGAGGCATTGCAAGATTCTCACAGCCACAGACATGACTCCCGGAGAGAGATGCATCATGGGATTTGTAGTTTCTCCACAGCTGGAGTTTGGCTAACCCTGCTCTAAGGCCTCGTTTAGATGAGTGGCAAGGGGTGGTAAAAACAGGCGGCTGTTTGTCACCCACCTAAAACCTAAAATAGCGGCCATTCAGGCTTGTATATATAAATGGCATGTTGTGTTTGGGCTGCTTGCCAAACCTGACCTGGGACTGTGTCAGGATGTCAGGCAGACCCTTTTTTCAAGTAAGTGTATCTAGAAAAGTAAAAATAAACAACAGAACACAGACCCCGGGCTACATGTAAATTAATGAATTACTATATCTCCGAATATACGAGAAATGTATTTAGACACATAATAATAATTTGTTTGAGAATGTGCGGCGGCCATGTTGGCCATCAGCGTGTTCTGTAAATGCCTGGTGAGACCCTACGGAGCCCCTACAGAGTGGGGCCTCATGTTTAGGTTTCACCTAAGGCCTCAAACTCTAGAGCCGCCTCTGGTGATTATATGCAATGTATTGGACTACAATAAAGATTGGAATTGTCTGCTGGAGACCGGTGGAGTGCAGCAATTTTTGGATCAAGTGCGGTCAAGGTGAACACACACCATGCAGCCTGCACCTGCCAGTCCTACAGAGCATTATTACAGCCACAGAATCGGAGCGGTGAGATGCTTTGGTGATTTGCATGTGGCTTTTTTTTTTTCAGCGTCTGAAATAAGAACGTTTAACAAAAACTTGCAGCGGTCAGATTCAGACCTATAGAAACATAAATTGGGGACAGAAGATTTAAATTTGGTTGCTGTGGGGCAACTCAAACCTTACCATAGAGTTTTTGAAGGTCAAGGCCCATTGGGACCACTTTGCTTTAATAGCATGTTGTAATATAAATCCATATTTATTTTTGTATTTCTGAATACTTGAGATGCACTGATACCGTTTTTTCGGTATAGAGTACGAGTAGCGATACTTTGCTTTCGGTACTCATCGATACCAAGTACCGGTGCTTCCGCTGGCATGCAGCCAGCTTCCCGGGCAATCTGATTGCCCAAGAAGCTAGCTCCATCTTGTCTGGCCGGCTTGATTGTGCTTAGCCGTGATTCCCAGCCAATCAGGAAGCCGGGCAGTGAGCAATGATCCGCCTCTCAGCTTCCTGATTGGCGTGGAACCCGGCTTCTCGGCCAATTAGGAAGCCAGGAGGCGGGTCATTACTTGCCACCCAGCTTCCTGATCGCACAGGAAGCTGGCTCCATGTTCCCCTACCACACTGCTGGTCAGAGGAAATCTTATCGGGGAAGGTATCCGAGCATTTGGGCAAGTAAGAGTACTCACCCAAACACTCGGTATCGGTACCGATCCTAGCCTCGGTGCATCCCTAAGGAATACATATATAGATGACGGTTCTCATTTAAAGTACAACAGTGTCAATGATTATTGTATGTATGCGTACGGCGCAGCCAGGTCGTTACTGCATGTGCTGCCCCCATTGTCTTTAGTTGGCTCTTGGAATGTACTAAGGTTGATTTGCCGAAGCAGTGGCTTAGTGGTTAGTACCTCTACAAGCAATGGGTTCCTCGGCTTGTGTAGCACACTATCTGCATGGAGTTTGCATGTTCTCCCTATGCTTGCATGGGTTTCCTCCCATCTTCAAAAGACATGCTGGTAGGTCAATTGGCTACTGTCTAAGTTGGCCCTAGTATGCATATGAGATGGGGACCTTTAGACTGTAAGTTCGATGAGGACAGGGACTGATATGATTTTGGTGTCCTTGTCATTTACGGTTGCCTAATTTAGTATATTATTCTTCCATCCACAGAAGCCCTGGTTCCATGATCTCCATGAAGTTTGGAATGGTTTCCCTAAACAGGTAAGTGTTAAATTGAAATGGGACCTAGCACCAGACTCGGCCCATTAACAGTAATGTCTGTTGATGATGGTACAGGCCCCATGCTGCCTGCTCTTCTCCTGATTTAATGTAAGAAGTAGCCCATCCAAACTCACGGAGTGCTCTGCTGATTAGGAGCTCACTCTGACATCTCCTCCATAGTTATTTGCTGTGGGGGACAGGGAAGCTGCATGTCACAGTGTATTTCACCAAGAAATCTCCTTCACACTGCTTACAGCAGTAACTAAAGCAGAACCCCCCAAAACAGTTGCATATGCTGGGGTGGAAGGACAGCCCAGAGTTCATCTTTAAAGGGAATTGATAATATTTTGTATACACTTCTTTTTTTTTTTGTATTATGTTTAGAAGAAACTTGGCTTTACAAAAAAAAAATCTGAATATATTTTCATGCCAGCAGATGGAGCTCTAGACTCCTTTTCACATATGCAGGAGGCTACCTTTCACACGCAAGTAAAGAAAGCTAGTTGTTTATAGAGCTCAATAGCACAAGCTCAAATTTACAGGGACGGAGGGCAAGCCGGCATGTCCCGAATGCCTGATTATCTCAGGGGAACAGGACAAATTGGAAGGAAAATTTACATTTGTAGTGATGTAACAGGAAGTTAGGAGGTTAGAGAAAACATAATAGGTATTCTTTCTTTTATAAAACTGGAAGGGTTGTAGTTCTTCTTTTCTCTGATTTTTATAGTGTGTTTGTTATGTGGCCATTTGTTTAGTTATAATAATTAGTTATGTTTTAGTTATAATCTTCTTTATATACAAAATGTTCTCATTTAATTTCATGTCCGCAGACCATGTTGCCCTCACAATACTGGTATTATATGATAGAACTGGGCTTCTACTGGTCTCTCCTGTTCAGAGTGGCATTTGATGTCAAGAGGAAGGTGAGTAATCATAATGAATGAGTGCATCCTATTAGTGTTCTCCTATGTATTATCCAGAGAAACTGTGATTGTTTTTTGTTTGTTTTTCCTTATTCTGGAGGTCCTAACCCCATGTGAAGCTGAATCTTGTTTTCCTTGAGTGCTTAGAGTGAAGCAGAGCCTGGATCTCAGCCCTGACCATCTTCTCACAGCACAAATGAGTCCCAGTCCTTCTGAGGGATCTGCTCTGTCCAGTTGCTTACAGCACAAATGAGTCTTGGTCCTTCCTGTGAGGGATCTGCCCTGTCCTTCTTCTCACAGCACAAATGAGTCTTGGCCCTACCTGTGAGGAGCCAGCTCTGACCAGTTGCTCACAGCTTATGTGAGTTTCAGTACTTTCTATGTAATATAAAGAGCTTGCAACTTCCAGTTCCACTGCTGCCATGCTGTCCATGCTCCCCTTACTGTCCACACTACATTTTCTGCCAGCTCTCCCCCCCTACTGTCCACACTACATTTTCTGCCAGCTCTCCCCTACTGTCCGCACTACATTTTCTGCCAGCTCTCCCCCCCTACTGTCCACACTACATTTTCTGCCAGCTCTCCCCTACTGTCCACACTACATTTTCTGCCAGCTCTCCCCCCCTACTGTCCACACTACATTTTCTGCCAGCTCTCCCCTACTGTCCACACTACATTTTCTGCCAGCTCTCCCCCCCTACTGTCCACACTACATTTTCTGCCAGCTCTCCCCTACTGTCCACACTACATTTTCTGCCAGCTCTCCCCTACTGTCCACACTACATTTTCTGCCAGCTCTCCCCTACTGTCCACACTACATTTTCTGCCAGCTCTCCCCCCCTGTCCACACTACATTTTCTGCCAGCTCTCCCCCCCCACTGTCCACACTACATTTTCTGCCAGCTCTCCCCTACTGTCCACACTACATTTTCTGCCAGCTCTCCCCTACTGTCCACACTACATTTTCTGCCAGCTCTCCCCTACTGTCCACACTACATTTTCTGCCAGCTCTCCCCCCTACTGTCCATACTACATTTTCTGCCAGCTCTCCCCTACTGTCCATACTACATTTTCTGCCTGCCCTCCCCCCTACTGTCCCCACTACATTTTCTGCCAGCTCTCCCCTACTGTCCACACTACATTTTCTGCCAGCTTTCCCATACTGTCCATGCTACATTTTCTGCCTTATTTCCCACGAGTGTCTTACCTCCAGTCTGATATGTCCTCATGATCTTTGCACTGTTCTTCAGTCCAATCTCTCTCTGCCGTGTTCATCACTGCACACACTCCAATCCCCTGCACTTTGTATGCTACCTCAAGTTAAAAATTTGCGGTCTTCAAACACTATCTTCCCTGTCCCTTGACTGACATAGTGGAGCCATAGCAGATAGCTGTCTCACAATGCCCCACCACTTGCCATAGAGATCTTATGGCTGCAGCCACCTTGCACAACCAAAGAAATCTGGAGGAGTGGATAAATGTCGGACCATAACTTATTAGTCCTGCACAAATCAGGCCTCCACCCCTCTTCATCACTGTCACCCTAGAAAGGAAGTTTTTTAGGACTGCAAAACACCCCCCGCTCCTATTCTCCATATCACGGGGATTGTTTCATACTCATACAGGTATGACTGTATGAGAAAGAGATAGTTGGAATTGCCAACTAAGAGTGGAGCTAATAGTTTACCTTTTACAATATATATTTTTGTGATTTGGCCATTTGGAAAAGCAAATGATATGACCAAGTACACAACACCATTACAGTACATTATACGTCTTAGTGATAGCGCTCTATAGGCTGTTATGGTATGTCTATGCAAATAGTTATTATTCGTAGTAGTAGTGTTGTGTGTGTGTGTGTGTGTGTGTGTGTGTGTGTGTGTTTTGGTAAAATTTCCTTTTTTTTTTTTTCCATTTTCTGTAGGACTTCAAGGAGCAGGTCATCCACCACGTGGCCACTATTATTCTGATTAGCTTTTCATGGTGTGCAAACTACATTCGAGTTGGCACATTGGTCATGGTCATTCATGATTCCTCAGACTTCTTCTTGGAGGTAAGGCATACCTGAGTGGATGAGCTTTAGTGGTCATTGTGGAGGCCATACCAGGCACCCCTCTTTAGCATCTATGAACTTAGCTTTCGATGTGAGATGCCTTTCTCCTGCATCAGTTGAAAATTGGCAATGATTGTTCAGTCAGCCATCTCAGGTTTTTATTACCTTCAAACAAACCTGGCCAACTGTTCTACGGCGATACAATCAACTACAGAGGATTGAAAACACTGTCTATTTGATAGTGTTCTCCGTAAATCTGATGGTGATGGAGCTTGAACGGCGCCATTCAACAAAGAGCAGAGGGCGCACCAACATAGTTTAACCATTTGAAAAGGTCCACCCTCTGTGCTATCTGCCTTGGAAACCCAGCCATACTTTGGCCTAGAAAGTAAGAGGAACTCTTAAAACCTCTCACCTGCCAGGCGCCACATTCTGGATAGCATGTTTAACCATTCCTGGTGTGCCGAGCCTGGCATTCCGGACACGTTATGGTGTTAACCCTCAGACGCTGGTCACAGCAGGAATGTTCCTGAATTGGGTCCATGAGATCATCTCATCTTGGTCAGTTATTTTTCCTTCATTAAAATAAATTCCTACACTATGTTGGTGCCCTTTGTACAAGAGGGTCTATGGGCAGCCTACGATGAAGGAAGAATGTGAGTTCACTTACAAAGCACAGTATCCATGTGTCTAACATCGGTCATATTCATACGTTTTGGTTACTAATTATAGTTCTGCTTGTTTTACTTCTAGTCTGCCAAGATGTTTAATTATGCCGGCTGGAAAGAGACCTGCAACAATATATTTGTAGTCTTTGCTCTTGTGTTCATCATTACAAGGATTGTAATTCTACCTTTCTGGTGAGTAATTGTTCTATTGCACCAACACTGCCTGACATTGGTCTTTGCTAATGGGTAATGGAAAGCTCAAGTCTTGTAAAATCAAGCATAGAAATGGGGACATGGTACATAGTCTAGGACTTCTAGTTTTTAGTCACATAACTGTTTTGCATCACCCAATTCCTTAAAACAATTTGCCCATTAGGGCTACAAAATCGCCCGTCTTGTGGAGATGGCCCTTAATTTAGAGGGGTTCCTTTAGGAGTACAAGAAAATATAAGCTTCTAATTATGAACTTTTAATGAAGTGGTTACATACCATATGTGTGAAGTTATTTATTGGATAACCTTGATACCTTATTGCAGCATTATAAAGATCATCCCTGGAGATTATACCATGCTAAGAGTCCCACCACGTACAGTACCTGAGCCTTGAAGAAGCAGGAGGCCTCTTTCTGACACGCTGACTGTGTGTCATGTTTTTAACCAATCAAGGTTTCAAAAAAGGCTTTTCAAAGGAGTTGTAAAGTCCCAGCTGTTATAACATCAGCATTGTAATAGAAATACATACTAGAATTGCTTTAAATAATGCAAGCAAAGTTTACCTGAAAAAATACCTTTTTATGTAGTATGCGTTGCCTTCTTTCTGCCCATCACTTGCACCAACTTCCTGGATTGCCAGGGTGCTTTGCACCTCTTTCCCTGCTACTTGATGCGATGCAATCTCCATTTCTCCAGACTAAATATCCCATCATACATTGCTTCCAGCAAGCAATGATAATGTTACATTGTGAGAAGTTCAGACGTTGAGTTGTAGTTTAGACAGCAGGCTTAGAGTGATGACAAGGAAGGTTATATTCTTGGGGCTGAGTGAAATGGTATGAGTGCATTGAGGAAGTAAATCTGATGGGCATCTTCAATAAGTTTACAAACTTCTAGATGGATATGGTTATTAGGAGTGGGATAGAACTTCTGGAAATCCAATATAGAAATACAGATTTATTTTCAGACTATGACCATAGATTCCCTTTAAGTGATACAAACATTTGTATTAGGCTATCCTTCAATATACATCCAAGCCTTAGATGACGTCTTGTTCTCCCATGAAGAATGAAGGAGGAGAAAGGAGACATCTCCGTATTAACGTCTTAGGTTATATTTTGATACTATGAACTAGATGACAAAAACCCATTAAAGCTCTCAGTGCCCTTGCCAGATTGACACACATCTAAAACCACCCATTTGTATACAAAACACAAATACCAGCTGTTATGTGTAAGGTAACATTTGTATTTGTGTTGTGTATACATATGAAGGCTTCACATTTAACATTATAACTTACCTGACAAAGAACATCACTTAAAGGAGTTGTAAAGTCCCAGCAAATACTATTCTGTTAGAACATAACAAGCAAAACTCATTCATAAGACTGAAGATGGATTGTCCTTTTCTGCAGGATTCTGCACTGCACCTGGGTCTACCCCATAGAGATTTACTCGCCCTTCTTTGGATACTATTTCTTCAACGCCATGTTGTGGGTACTCCAGTGTCTGCATACTTTTTGGGCTTACCTCATTCTCGGCATGGCACACAAGTTCCTGACGGGCAAGGTAGGTCCATTCACTTCTTTCTTAAAGTAGAACCAACACATATTTTGTATAATTTTGGTAAGCAGTCGCTATGATCCCGGAATCTGATTACTTGCAGCTCTACTTTATATTGTAGATCCCATTTAAATCAAAATGTATTCTGTTGTTGTTCATAGCCTTGTTTGGTTTCTGCTATGTAAAACCTGCCTCCATCTTGTCTTCCAGTTGGAACAAGATGAGAGAAGTGACCAAGATGAAACCGATATCCCAGAGGAAGAAGACGAGGAACCCACCAAAAATGGGTCTGTGTCCAATGGTCATTCAGTGCATAACAACAGTCACCACAAAGCGGATTGACCTCGGACCAGACGTGAGGCTGCTTCATCCTCTGTTCCTTTCCTGAGGATGTAATACTAACTAATGCCCTTTCCCTGATTAGCACTACTGAAATTCCTTGCCATCATCTCAAGAAAGGACTCCTAAGAACATCTCAAAGACAACACGGGTCCACCTTCCTACTGAGCCTTGGGACATGGATCACTGGAGCTTCTCCGTGAAGACAATTTTAAACACGTTGATGGCTTTTTACTATGAAAATGATCCCTCCCCCAAATTTATCCATAATTCAGTGCAGCCACATAAAGCCCTCTCTTCTTTTCACCCCTAAGCCAAAAGTACCTGCTGCTTGTCTGTTGTTGGAGAGAAGGTCAAGTGGACACCAAAGATCCTTTTCTGTGAAGATAGCTTGTTTTCGCCTCTTGTAAACCTGTGATGCACATTCCAGAGATGACTTTGTTCTCAAATTACTACGTACATTGACCAGAGAACATAAGTTGAATGACCTGGATAGAGCTGTGAAGGTGTTTGTTTTTTTTCCTTGCCAGATGATGTCCAGTTTTGACATCCATCACCATTGTTGGATGGGTTGATCATAGAATGTTTCTTGGTAGATTGGTGCACCATCTTTTTCACCTGGGTCTACCATTTAGAGGTGACAATCAATGTGAATATACTGCACATTCTACTTGTTGGCTGGTGAGAGAACTTCCTTGTCTGTTTTGCTTTCCATAGTCCTGATTGTTTAATAGCAAACATTTATTTATTTATTACTGATGTTGATTTCCTTTCCTGTTAATATCGCTCTACTACAGAGCAATCAGTCGTCACCTAGATTTACAGATTATCCCTGGACTGTTTAATCTTTTAACTCCTGTAATTGTGGGGATGTATAAAAGTCTGGTGGACAGTCAGAAAAATATGTTCCTCTGGAATGGACATATCATGTACTTGGTAGCAGCTAGCTAGTACAATCTAGAAGCCAGCAGACCAGGGAACATGTGCTTCCATTGCCGACAATATTAAAAGCTGTCATTATGTAGACTCAATGGATATCCGGTCTCTTGAGATTTATCCAGCCCCGAACGAAGGGCTATAACTGACCGTTCCTCAGTACGCCCAGCCCCTAGTATATGTGAATCCAGAGCCCAACCAAGTCTGCTGGACTAACCAGACCCATTCTGTAAGCCTTTACAAAAGCTGAATCTCACACATTGCTCTTTTTATGTCGGGGAATGTCATAGTCTGAGCCCTGGTACAATAATAGGCCAGTTCTATGAATGTGAAAAAGTTGTTGTACTGCTGTTAGACCAAAAAAGTGATAAACTGGTAAAGACTGAGATACCAATTACTGTAAACTTGTTATAGGAGAAATGAGGGATTGCTGACGTTTCTGAAAATGCTGATCTTCCAGTACTTGAAGTATTTTAACCCGGAACAGGTATGCAGGAAAGGCATAACTCCTTACCTGCATACATTTTTCAAAATCAGCTGCTCAAAAAATAGTCCAAGCAAGAGATATGACATAACGGCCAGCCAGGCAACTGGCCTTTTCAGGAGTGATCAGCAATAGCAGCTCATTTGTTTCTCCGCTTGATGTCAAGCTCAGTTGATTCTATGTAAGGACCCAGTCTTCTCACAGCCCTCCGCTGTTCTAAAGAGATGAATGTGTTGAGGGCCCTAAAGGATGAGCCTCCCCGCCACAACACAAGTTAAAGCACCTCTGCGGAACGTTAAAGTGACAAGGTCCTTCTCCAGTTGTTTAACCTGAAGGATAGTTACAAACCAGTTGTAAAAATGTGGTTTGTAGTGCACTGGGATGTGCATACATGTGCCATGCGATTGCTGTGGGTCACAAATATAATTCATGTGTGATCACAGCAGGTCGCGTTAACTTGCAATAAATAGAATGGGCAATGTTTAGGTGCACATAGTTCATAGCTCTTCTGGTTAGTGGATTTCACTCTGGAGGGATGATTTATAATTCATCCACCCAGCCATACGCTGGCTGAATGCCATTTGCACGACATTCTCGCAACTAGATGGAGCTGAGGAGCATTGGACTATCCTATTCTCCATCTAGTGGCAAGAAAGCCTTGTGAATGGCATTCAGCCAGGGTATGGCTGGGCGGATGATTTATTAACCATCCCTTAGGCCTTGTACACACGGGCTTGAGCTTGTATAGCATCAGTGTGTATAGAAAGCTTTCCAAAAGCCATTTCAAAGCTTTTGATGAGCTTCAAGCAGCTTTGTTAAAGCCCTTAAAGCATCTTTCAGCTCCAGTTTTGAGGAGGTTAAACACCGAGTCCTGTCAACGCTTTAAGCAAGCTGTTGGCTCGCTTTCAGCATGTTTTGAGTGAAGCTGTTGAAAATGTGCTAGCAGCTTGTTTTAAGCGACAGCCGGCACTCTCATGATCTGTGTTTAGAAGCCCCGTACTGGAGATGAAGGGTACTTTTGAAGTCTTCAACAAGGCTGAATAAAGCTTGTAACAACTTCCTGTATAGACTTCTGTTATACAAGCTGAAGCCCATGTACAAGGCCATAGGGGAAAATTATATAATGACCCTCCGTGAGCACATGTCAGGTACAGACTGACACACACTGATCCTCTGTATATAAATGCCCTAATATAGTAACATTTGTTTCAGTATACTGAGTTGTATATGCCTCATAGTCTTGGCCTGTATGCCGTCTTATAGGACTGGGATTGGTTTCAGTAGCCCAAGAAGCACTCTTTATGATTCATGTCACTGAAACGTTCCGCCCATCTTATGAAGGCAGCTATCTTCTATAATGGCATAATAATCAATATTCAGCAGGGATTAGTGGTGCAACGGAGGGCCTGTTAATGACGCTGATCATTAGTGATTGATAGGTTATCTTATTGTACCTATTGCTCTCGTATGTATTGCCTTACACACACAACTTTAATTAAATGTGCCACCTTTGTTAAAGTGTCTAAAACGAGACCATTTACAACAGCAGGGCAAATCTGTGAACATTCGTTTTATGTTAATAATGCCAAAAATGATTGTTCTAAAAAAATGTTTTTCCACGGTTCAAATGTAGTGTGTTGTAATAATACATTATGGCCACTAGATGGTGCTGAGGAGTATAGTAAATATGTCTTTATTGCCTATGCTTTTCAGCTCCCTCTAGTGGCCATTAATGTATAAAAACAACACACAACATTAGAACTGGGAAAAATATATTAAGAACATTTCATTTTTGGCATGATTTGCCCAAAATGAACTTTTAAAGATATTCGAAGGGTCTTGCAAACTGTTTATAAATAGACCCTCATCTGTATAAATAGACCCTCATCTGTATTTTGCCCATAACGGCTGCATTTTTCTTTCTTCTGGAACCCCATAGGATGGTGAGAATCTGGTTACTGTGGATTGCACTAATCATAACTTTTTTTTTTTTAAACTGAATGTAACTTGTCAGGTACCACTTTTCTCTAAATTAAAAACCTGTCTCTGTCATTTATATTTGTTATTTTGAATAAATGTATCTATAACCTTTGCTGCTTCAGTCTAATAAAATGAATAAACTGAACTCTGAGATAAACTATTTTCTAAATACAAGAGTCGTGTGTATTCTTTTCTTGAATCTTGGTGAGCTTTGTGTATTTCTTCCAGATCTGTGCAGTGATCCAGTGTGAGACTTTACTTCCTGTAATAAAGACCGGTCACTGATGTGCAGGGTAACTGGTCTTGTTTCCTCTTGTAGTGGGTGGAGCCTGCTGGGCCCTTCCGACAACTCTGCTTTCTGCACAGGCTATGTACTGCACAGTGATGAAGTCCCTGCCTGGTATAATATGGGTTTGCAAAGGCATTTGGTGCACACAAGTGGATTTATGTCCTTTTGTGAATGAATATATATATTCATATTCAAATATTACTTTTCCTTCCTACAAGTTCGGCTTTAAATGAAATGGTCCTCATATTAAAGACTGTCCCTGTGCGCAGAGTCGATGTACTTGTTGAAACCCTGTAATCCATGCTTTTGACAACTGGGTCTGTGGTCAAGATGACAAGGAATGCCCCTCCCTTTTTTGTGATTGGCTGTTTTATCTAAGTGCCAAAAACAAAATGGGACTAAATATTACCCAGCTGCATCATCTTTACTGCTAAGGGACAACTTGTAGTGGCAACGATGCTGCACTGCTCCTGAATTCAGAGCAGTGTTGTCATTCTCATGTAGGCTGTGCCTTCTTGTGCTAAAGTAGATGTTTCAGGGGGTGTGGCTATCAGTACTGTCACTTGATTTACAAGCCTGTAGCTGTCATTCTGCATGCACACCTAGCTCCTCCCACAGCTTTCCTCATTAATAGCTCTGTCTCTGCTGCTGAACCCTCCCACTGTGAGCTGCAGTACTAGGAGGAGAAACATGTGAGACACAGATGAAGGAAGATTTTAATTGGGGGAAGGCAAAGTAAGATTTTTGCTTTATAGGCTTTATACGTCACCTAGTAGCTGGACTTGGTATTTCTTCAGACTGTTCTACAGCAGCCTTTCGTTGCACTTTGGGTTAAAACCACACTTCAAGCAAATGGCTGAATATACGGTTGAAATACATCCAACTTTGCTTTATCTGCCAAAGGATTTGTAATTGTGTACAGGCAGTCTTAAGGTTTACACATTTCTGTTCCCGTACAGCCAGACAGGTGCCACATGTAGCTCCTGATGGTGCAATTCATCTTACTGGTTTCAACCGTTCAGCTTCCAAGGTCACTTCCAAAGTGCTCATTGGCTACTAAATCAACAATATTACATCTGTGCAGGAAGTAGTAATACCACACCAGATCTGGCCAGCAAGAAGTGTTGTGGATCACAGCAATAACTGCACAAAAATAGACAAAAATAAAATGTTTATATATATATATATATATAGTGTGTGTATATGTGTATATATAGGAAAGGGGATATGGTTGTCAGCTTTAAATAAACCAACTAGGCTGCAGAAGTGCAATCGGTCTCAAGCACATAACTTTTACAATGTTGGTATGACCTCAACTACCAACTAACCGACCACGTTTCATTGGTGGTCCACTCACCCTGTGATAGACAGCCTTGCCAACCAACAGTGAGGCGGGGGGGGGGG